GAGAACAAGTTCGAAGTTCTCGAGATCGGGATCACTTTATTATCTTTTGGCAAGAAGGATGTTTCAAAAGTTTCGCCATTAAATAAGAATCACTTTTAGTTTGATTATTTTTCTTTTTTTTTTTTTTTTCCATTTTGTTCCTTCAAATTTTTTCCTCCATTTCCTTGAAGAAGTAATTTATTTTTTTCCCTTCTTAAATTCTCTCTGTTTCTTTCCAGAGTCACCCCAAAATTTGTTCCCCAATTGAACTAAAATTTGAAAATTCAATTTTGAAAATAAAAAATCTCTCGGATAAAAGTCATCAATATCGTAGAAACTGTAATATCGAGCGAGTTGGAAAATCGAGAAGTAGAAAATAATTCGATGGAATTGGATCGAACGAGCCACGTAATAAAATTGATGGCAACGAGCATTCCACAATGATCGACTATCCCAAGATTAGTCATTAACAATCTTGGATCGCTATGCGGGACAGCCTTCGTTATAACAAGATCTCAACCTACGCTACGTTCACAAGATCGGGAATTTACTTGTATACTTCATTCAGAATGCAAACAGTTATACGCATCCGGTGAAGGGAAAAACACGCACGATGTGCCTCAAACGTGATCCAGTTAATAGAAAATTAACTTTTTCTTTTTCTCGTATCGGCCTCTTCCCCATTCTCGTACCAATATTTTAACGTATTTTAAAAATCCACGTGGAACAAATTTATGGAAGAACGAAAGGGAAGGGAAAGATATATTTATTTTTTTATTTTTGTTGTGAATTTAAGAAAGGGGATTTGTATATACGTACAATCGAGTGATTTATAGGGAACAAATCGGTTTAAAGATTTCCAACTGTTTGAACCGTTGACTAGATTCCGAATTGTATGATTCTATGACACGCGAATGAAATATTATCACATGCGATATTAGATTTCGATCAGGACTGTGTGTGTGTGTGTGCGTGTGTCGATGCGTTCATAGGTTTAAAAAAAAAATGGTAATTACGAATTCTGAATGAATTATTAGCGGCAATAATTAAAAGGAGGAGAGCATTGCCTATAATAATTAAAGACTAATTATTGGCAATAATTATCATGAATATTCTCTGCATTCGATCGATTTGAATTGGTGGCACGACTTGACTGAAATATATATATATTTATCGGAAGAACGACGTTTCAAATAATAACGAATACAACTACTTTCTTGGGTCCCCCTTTTTTTAGAAAAAATTATCCAAACGCGTAAAAAAGAAAAAAAAGAAAAAGAAAATATCGAGGATAGAAGAAACTTTTGAAAGAAAAACTTGAAATATATTTTAAAACATCTTTCTCCCTTTTTCTATAATTCTATAAGCAACGATTTATCGTATAATACGCAACGCTTAAATTTTCCCCCCCTCCACCGATCCCACACGTACTGAATTTATAATTTTACTTTGAAACTGCAATGTGCAGTCCATTACAGTTGGTTAATTAATACGTTTTGTTCCATGCCGCTCTGAATCGAATTATTTTCACAAGGAATAAATTATTAACGCGCAACATATTGATACGCTAATATTTACATAATAAATTTACGCTCGCAGAAGAATAAAAGAAACGGGGCAGAACGGCCCCGTTGTTGTTGATAATTATCGAAATGGATTAAATCCCCGGAGCGGCGCGAGGAACACGCTCTATAATTATTTCTCACTTTTCCAAAGTGCATAAGTTATCATGATCGATCATTCTGCGAAACGTTAAACGTTAAATGGCCGAGAATTCTCGAATTATAACGATAAAATATAGCGATTTATCGTGCGTTCAAAAGCAAATGTAGAAATGTTAAATCTAAATACAGGGAGGCTAAATTTTAAACCTACTACTAACAGTAAATTTTCCAAAAAGAAATTTCTAACGATATTAAATTTATTTATTATTTTAAATTTTATCGTACGTACAATTTTTTTTTAATAAATTTTATTTATATTTCGGTGAAAGATTACTCTATTATATATTAATAAAATATTGTGCTTTATAGATATTCTTATATCGTTAAATAACTATTGAAATTCGTAATAATCGATATTATCTCGCTTGCCATTACAAAATACCGAACCATTGAAAAAAAAAAAAAAAAAAAAAGGAAAAAA